GGGGCGCGGTGTTGCGACTCTCTCGGCGGCGTGGGCCGAACCGTGCACGTTGGTGGCCTCCAGTGCCACGGTTCCTCGTCGCCAGTGTCACGATCTTTCTCGAACGTGGACAAAGGGGGCCGAAGCACCCGCCGAGGAGAGACGACACGCAGCCTGGTTGTGAGGGTGGACGATGATTGGCCGGAGCACGTGCGCTCAACGGCGTTTATTGGCGCGGTGAACAATGTTGCCCGCCGAGCCAGGCGGCCGCAGACGGGCGGACTGGAGGGGGCGCCACTAACTTGTCACAGCCTCCACACATAAATCTTATTCTCCCAAAAAGTGCTTTGAGGTGGTTGCTGTTTGACTTCCTTGTCGGGGCGAAGTTGGCACCTTTTGCTAAAAGGAACTTTGTTGTCTCCACAGCTGACTTCGTGCTAAAAAGCAAGGCTTGGAAGGTCTCATTTGTGAAAGCATTCATTCCTGAAGCCACGAGTGTTTCCTGGATGCTCTTCACACATAGCATGAAAGCTCGTTTTCAAGCCACACCAGTCGAGGGTCGTCCTTCATTGAGATGGGTCTTTTTTGTGCACTCCCTGTGTAGGTCGTGTCATGAATGTCAAACCATTCCTTCATTGTCTTCATGAAACGTGTGGTAGGGCGGTGATCCTGCTCTTTATTTTTTCTTTGAAAACATAAAGAGCAGGATCACTGTTTGATTTTTTTTGAAGGTGTTCTAAGGCTGAAAATACTTGTGGGGATAATATTTGCACAGCATGAAGCACATTCATCTTTTCTAGTTTTGTGGGGTAGACATGCTTCCTTGTTAAATTCCGTGCCAGTTTCATGATTAATCATGATGATTTGGTTTGGTCCAGAGCTTTTCACGGAAGGACATCTCTGCAGTTCTGGAATATAAAAGTAGCTGAAAAAAAATTTCAGACCACTCACTAGATCTGTAAAGTAAGCGGGGTCAGAGGGATCCGAAAGCTCAACTGGAGAAACGTCACTGTAAACATGGAGTGAAGCGTAAGACACCTTTGTTACACCCATCTGCCTTTACACTTGTACAAAGAATTTGCTGTTTCATACTCCATTGTCCATTTCTTTTTTAGTGAAGTTCTGACGTCCCAAGGACATTTAATCTCCGAAATACTGACTCTGCAGCAGTTGTACTTAATCAAGGCATCTGGTGTTGCTCCAGTGAAAGGGAACAAAGTTGAGCTGAGAAAACTTCTTTATTTAATGTCATACATGACTGTTCTTGCTTTAAAGCATCTTCAGTGGCAAAAAAAAATACACAAAGTTGCACCTGAGAGTGGCCGACGGCTGTTTCACAATGCAGTGCTACAAAACGTTGCAAAGCGTTTTGTAGCAATTACTGAAGGGAGTTCGCAGTCACCGATGGCCATCAGGACAAGAGCCCCGCTGGTCCGCCGTCCTCGTAAATGCTGCAGAGCTGATTCCATTGGAGCCGCACCGTAGGCGGTGGCTTGTCCTGTGGGATCACCCAGTCCTCAAAGGTGTTAGGTTGGAAATGAGCGCCAAAGGAACGGGGACAGGTGAAGAAGTGGACGACAACACGGGGCGCACTCGCAACAGAACGTTTATTAGAAAACACACATGGCTAAATACCTAAAATACAACATTGTCACTTCCAGCCCCAGGATGATTGTGTTTGACAACTTTGAGGTGCACGGGCGTCGATCACAATGCACGGCGTCTGTTAGATAGTTGCCGCGTGCTCCCTTGCACAATCATTAATGCAGCGGCCTGTTGGCTTTACATACGAGCTCCCACAGAATAGTGGTATATCGTAGACGACAGATGTTTTACAATCCACAAACTTCGTTTGGTGTTTCTTTTTGCATACCTCACTAGCCTTTCCGGGGCATTTATCCTTCTGCACAAGGCCGAGGGTTTCTTCGGGGCCGAAAAAACAACCGGAACATTGTAACGCTTCACGACATTTTTTAAGTTGTGGGAGATAGCGTGAACGTAAGGAATGATAGCCGGTCTGGTTTTTTTGCCGTTCACGGGCGTTTAGGCGAACACCTCTATATTTCCTTTTCAGGCTGTCCGCTGCGTCAGTCAGAGGTTTCCGCGGAAAACCTACGCTTTCTAGATGATCCACCTGTAACAGGAAGCTCCTGCCCATTTCATGATGACAGGATTTGGCCAATGCAGCTCCGAGAAAGGACTGGGCGGTACCTCGTTTTACCAGTTTGGAATGTGCGGAGTCGTAGGGGAGTGCATCCTTCTTAGAGCGGGGTTCATAAGCCCAGCAAATGTGGTCTTCTAGAAACATAAGTTTCAAATCTAGAAACTGCAAAGACCCTTCCAATGTTCTTTCATGGGTAAACCTCACCCCATGGGAGCAGGCCGCAAAAACTTCCATTAAATCAACTGCAACAATATCAGTAAGCTCCTTATGTGCGAGGACAATGACGAGGTAATCATAGACATACCTAAAAATTCTAATATCGTCTTTATTCCCAAGTCTTTCAGCTATAGCTTGGGTCACAGAGTATTAAAACAATATCACACAAGACGGGGGCCACTTGCAAACCAATGCAAATGCCCTGTTTTTGCACATCACATCACCATCAAAAGACACAAAGGTATGTTCAAGATAGAAAGACAGGAGTCCAATGAATCTCCACACTCATACCACAGGAGCTCCCGAAAGCCGTTTCTCCATTCTTGTCGATGCATTTGGTTACAGCTGTAAAATGGGCTTGATGCGGGACAAAGTAAAAAAGATCTTCAACATCAATTGAAAAGGCATCACACTTCCCTCTAGACCAACCCCTCAGGAAGTCAATCACCTCATCTGAGCTGCGGACTAGGAACTCATCATGCAGTTTCAATGACGAAAGGTGCATTATAAGAAAGATGGAAAACTGGTACTGACACGAGTCTCTCTCTGTAACTATCGCCCTAAAAGGGACGTCCCTTTTAATGCGTCTTAGTCACGAAAAAAATGTCCAGGGACAGCTTATTACTAGTGTTCACCTTCCTCGCTAAAACAGGAAGGTCTAATTCACAGCATAATTTCTTTGCCCTCGACTTCACCCTGTTCAGAGATCCTGGCTTCACTGGCTTGAAGTTCTTGTCAACAGGTTCCTTGGCTTTTTTGCTGTACAGTTCATGGGGCAGGACGACAAATCCCCCTTCCTTGTCCGAGGTTAGTAGCTTGAGGTTGGCGCACTTGAAGTGGGCAACGATGGCCCCCATCTTCAGGCTTTTTGGGCGTTGGCCAGCGGTGCGGCAGAGCGCATCATACGTAAATAACTTTTTAAATATTTAAAAAAAATATATTTCACTCTAAATATGGCCCTTGCACGCAATTATATGGTGCACCTAAGCATGCTTTAAAAGAGCCGTCAATAATGGCTCGCTTTAGGTTACGACTCCGCTTGCGTTCGGTCACTTTCTGTTAGCTTGAGAATCGCCACCTTCTTTTATAGCGTTGCAGTTGAGTACTTTTCGCACTTCTTAGCGGCCGTTCGCAACTGCGGAAGAACAGACAGGGCCACGACCGAACCAGCATAGTCCGAAAACCCGATTCACCAAGACGAGATGAAAAGCACAATCTTTACTTTAAAATGGTATTAGTGGGTGCCAAATTTTACTGCTTAGGTTAGTGTTCCAAATGAGCACTTCTCACGCCCTAGTAGTTTTGATGACAGCCTTTGGATTCTAGGAGGAAAATAAAGCAATCCGGTCGTGCGACTCAAATCAAATTTGGGGGTTTTACGTGCCAAACCAACGACGGGCATCTGGCACGCCCCAGCGGAGGACCGAGGATTAATTTCGACCACCTGGGGATCCTTTGACGTGCAATCGAAAGCTCGATTACCAAGCTGCCTTCTCCGCAATATACCTCCATCAGATTGCAGGCACCTCGGCCGGGATTCGAACCCGCCACATGGGGATCCGTAGGCCGGCACTCTCGCCTCGGAGCCACCGAGGCGGCTTCGTCGTGTGACTGAATGTGACGTAGGTGCACTGGCTTTGGTTTGACTACGATCATGTGATCATAGTTATGGTCACGTGATATCGTAGATAATAGGTCACGTGATTTAGAGGATTCCGTTCATGGCTACGAGCGACTTCACACACATGCAGGGAGGGTGAAGAGACAAGGGAAGGGGGTTGCGTGGTCTCTAGGTCAACGCAATTTATTCTGCATCCCTGTAGCCCGCATACACGTCAGCAGGATACCTGCCCCTAATTGTCTTGACCAGACAGGATGGCAGGAGCCGCCTATTCTTCTTTCCCAAGCGGCTCCACAGCCACAGGGCACACTGCCTGTAGGCTGCAAATCTGTAGTGCCTGGAACAATGACAGAGATTGGATGTAAGAAGCAAAGCCTATCACTCTGTTGGCAAATTCTACACTTGTTTTCATTTCTCTAGGCATGTAATCATACTCTGCTTTTCTGTTACGTCCACTCCAGCTATCACATAGCAGAATCCCTATTTGGCAGTCCATGTCGGATGGGCTAGACATGGAAGCCAAATTGAAGTGAACTTCTGTAGATTCATTCTAAATGCTCCAGAGTTTAAAAAAAAAAAAAACAAAAAAACTATAGGCCTTGGTTCTCCTAACCCACCTCCAACTCCAATCGACACAACAACCAGTTATACACCGGAATTAACAAGGAAGGAATATCTGTTGCGTGGTCATGATACATAAAATAAGTTCACAGGGTCCCAGTTCATAATTGTAGATAATATCTGTCATTGGTTTTGGTGACGAATATTGCATCGCTGTGTTTTGGGAAGGACACATGAAAATTATGTGCACTGGCCAGAGGGAATGGGAGCCATTCATCCAGAACAGTGGAAAGCTCCCCATATGATGTTGTTTAATTTGGGACAAAACAGTGCAGTTCGTAAGCCTGTGAAGTAGTGGTGTGCAAATATTGGTTCGAATTAAATAGTGCACTGTCGTTTCTAGCATCAACAGCGCAAAAAGAGCCGGTTGCATCGGCTTCCCTTTGCAGCGCGAAGGTTATGGCAAACATACTATTCAATTTGAACCAATATTCGCACACACCTACTGCAAAGGTTTCCTGCACACAAGTGCCAGGGAATGTGAACTCATCAGAGAACGTCCCAATTTAACATTGTCTAAAGTGCTGCTGGCACTGCCGAAGCTTGGCATTGGTACTGGTGATTAGGGATTTGAGAATAGCAGCCTGGCCATGAGTGTTCTATGAAGCTCGCACAGAACAGTTTTGGTGTAAACATACGAGCTGAAGTGCTCATGCAATACTGGAGTGGCTCCAGCAGTTGTGATTTCATGTCTCTCCGACACAATCCGTGTCAATATCCGAACATGTCATTCTGACAGCTTCCATTTGCCATGACAGCTGCTACCACCCCCATGTGTTTATTGGTCCTGAATACCTTAGGGCTCAGGGCACCGCAATCATTTGCTATTTGGTCATATACGCATCTGCAAGACACATATATCAACATTTTTCCCCGTTTTAGACTGCGATATGTCTTCCATTATGCTGTGTTGATTTAGAGGTGACACTACTATCATGAGAGTAGTGGGGATACATATGAGCACCCCCAGGCCTCCCCATTCTTGCACGAGAAACTTTGAATTTCAGTGTTTATTTCAATGAATAGTGTTGTTAGAAAAATATTTTAACGAAAAATGATGCGATACTGTTTGGTGACCTATTCCAATCTCGAATCCTTTCTGTCATACTCGCCCATGTGGGCACTGCAACATCATCTGTTAAAAAAAAAAAGCATGGATCTCGACGACGACAGCCTGCTTCTGAATAAGCTGTCCAGACATGGCACTCCTAAAAAACTATCCCAGCATAGCGTGCAAAGAATGCCACACCAGCGGTGCAAGTGTTGCTGGCACCACAAGGAACATGTCGAGATGATCATCCACCGGCTTCAGGGTGTCTGGCATCTGCATCCAAAAATAGTGTAAATCAAGACCCAGACACCCAATAATTATCACCCCACCTTGAGATTTTGGCTTTTCAACTAGATCAGGGGATTAAGGGATCGAAGCTAGGAAGGATTGGAGGGCAGGACGCCTTGACATGTCTCTGACTGGGGTGTTTACTGCCCTATATACCTCCCATGCACCAAAAGCCGTCCCAAAGTGGCAACAAAATATGTTACGGGAGCCAAAGTGTCATGCTGTCAGATGCCGGCAAAGTTACGACAGAGAAAACGAGCAGATGCAAGTGTGGCTGTTGTCGTGGCGTCCCCCCTTGTGACAATCAAGTGAGCACAAACTATTGTGCAGCTCTTGGCACAGCAAATTAGGCAGCTGCCATACGCACATGGACTCTTCTGGCACCGCCAAAATTCTTGACGTGGCAGATTTTTATAAAAAAAGTAAGCAAACGTAAAACAACGCATTGCAAGCGTCCCGGCTGGTGCCTTTGTTGCAATGATGTTCACATGCACGTAAGGGCAACTTCGGCAGGCTTGCAGTTACACGTGCTTCGTCGCGCGGGCGGAGACAACGGCTGTTTGACCGAAACCGAAACCATGCCACTCCGCGCTCCGTCGCCAACTGCATGGTTCCCAAAATAGTATGCAAAATGTAACTGTCCAGCATACGACAATAAACAGTCCAGCGACTTGTGCTTGCCAGGCCGGCAGGCGAGGTACAGGCTAAGCGCACAGAAAAAAAGAACCTGAGCGTATTGATGCAAGACACTGCGAATCAAGGTCAAAAAAGTTCTTGGAGCGCTTCGTGCAACGACTGAACTTGAGACAAACAACCGCGCTGTGCGGGTTCAGCGTGCAGACATTGCCTTCTTTGCTTTAGCTCACTTCTCTTCACCAACTTTCTTTTGCGGCAGATTTTTCACGTACCGGGGTCCCTCTCGAAAGAAAGCCCACCAGGAAAAACCTAAGTAATCAAAACTTCGCCAAGCAGTCATTGAGTTAGAGAGGGATTTTTATAGCAGCGTATGATTTAAACAAGAGCAGGAATGTCGACGCGTTTCAGTTTAGTAAGCGCCATATCTGCAGCGACGTGGGGACGGCAACACACGACGTCGCGCGAGCGCTTCAGCTCAAAAAGTAACTCCCGCCGCGCAAAAACGTGGTTTTGTCTCACAGCATGACGGCTTGTTTGGCACCCGATACACTAACGTCTGAGAGTCCGCACACGCCCGTGTCTACCGCTAAAAAAAAAAAAAAGACGCGAGACGAGATTTCTGAGACGACGAGTGCACGAAACGCGAGACGTCGGGAAAAATCATGCAAGACCAAATAGACGATTAATACAGGGTACTTTGTGTCGGGTGGCGTCTTGTGCGACCTAGCTTACGCATGCTCAATTACGGTTCTCAGTTTCGTTTCGTTTATGAAAGGCGACCAAAATTGCTTCTTTGGCGCAGGCTTGGCACGGATTAGCCATATTTCGGTGAAATGTAGCAGGATGTAGCAAAGTTAGCCCCTTGGTGCAGTTTGGCGCAATGGGCGCAGCAATCACATCCCTGCACTGTTTATAAGTGTGTCTCAGCCACGCCTGGACAGATGCCTCCGAGTCATCAATGTCCGCAAAGACATCCTCGCGTGGCTTTCTGAATACGGAGGGCATTATGCTCATTGACTGCATGTAACCGGCCACCACCATCAACATCGCCCCGTATGTGGCTACCCTCAGGTGATTGCGCGATTCACGAGAAGCTGCCAGGGAAAGGGGCAGCAGGTACGCTCTTGCAGCATGACAATGCCCATCCCTACATTCACCGTACTCCCTCAACCTAGCCCGGAGTGACCATCAGCCATTCAGCACCATGAAAAAACCACCTATGAGGACCCTATTTCATGGACACTGGTGAACTCGAAGCGGCTGTCCAGGCGTGGGTGCGAAGCACTCCCAAAGAGTGGTCCCGGAACGGAAAGGCTGCCACACTACTAGAACCAGTGCGTTCGTCTCCAGGGGGACTACGTTGAGGAGGTCGACACACCTACCGACCCCTAAGTGGACAATATCTGCGGAAAAATAAATCGTAAATCAGTATGGTACGCCCCCCATATGGCTGCACTGCCTTGACAATTATAGTATGGAAAGGAGGAAATTTTTTTATTTTTTTGAGTGCATGGCCTGCAGTGGCATAGCCAGAAATTTGTTTCAGGGGGGTGTTTTACATTGCTGGTGTGTGTGTGTGGGGGGGGGGGGGGGGAGGGGGGATACTTTGCATCGCTGGGCGAATGGAAGGTTTCTAGTTCGCATTGCCATTGCATTGTAAACGGTGCACGAACCAGAGCAATGAGCCTTCAATGACTGCCTTTTTGTGTAGTTTCTTGACCAAAAAGCTTGCAAACACCGTCTAAAGCCCCTTCTGACAATTTGGATACTGGAGTAAAGAATATGACTTTTGCCGATAGGGTTGGAATATAAGTCTCCACTTGCCTTCTAGAGGAAAGACGTAGTGGCATCCATGGACTCAACAGCAATCTGTGCCTATGTCATCGTTCTCAAGTTTTTGATTGTTTTGACCAGAGAACATTGCACTCGCTTGGGACACCCAAAAATTGAAAGGATGCATTATCGAAATGCCAAAAATAAAAAATGTTGGAAGAACAAACCGCCGAAATCTCTATTAGCCGAATCACCCGGTACCAGAGACCAAACAATTCCAAAATATTATGTTCAACACGAACCTACAGGGTTCTAGATTGAGAAAGTGGAAGAAACATTTGTTCTGCCAGAGGAATTCTTTGTTTGTTGAATATGATCTAATAGTTTGTGTGTATTTCCCAAAGAAAGCTAAGGATGTTGAGCTTGTCCCAGTTGCCCAAAGCGGCTGTCAGGCTCTCTTCTCGCATGTTTTGCTTCTTGTGTGGTAGATGGCGAGGTTCTAATCTGATTTCTGCCTCGATATCGTCTTCGAGCGCAGCTTGCACATTTTTCATGCTCCTAATTTTGCAGAAGACACTTCCATGATTCCAACACACTGGTGCAGCTAGCATCTGCCAATACCGTACCAAATATGGCGATCAGATATGTACGCATTCTCACCTTTCGGCGTTTTGCTGTTGGGCATTTTATTTTTCGACGTTTCAATGTTTGGCCTTTACATTTTGATTTTCGTCATTTTGATATCGGCCCCTGTTTTGATGGGCTTGAAGGTCACACGCAGAGACTAGACCAGGTAAAAGGACGAGGATGTCTGAGCTGAAGGTGCCAACTGTACTGTCGACGTTGACAGTGCACTTGAAGCAGTTGGTGTTTGTTTCTTCTCAAAAAGATTGCCCAGCATCAACTTAGCTGGCATAGCTAAGCTCATTTTTAAGATAGCAACAAGGCATTGATGCATGCAAGATAAAGTAGGTGTATGCAGTTTTCTGAACTCTTAGCTCTGAGAAACAAAGTGACTGGAGCATCCTTCCCCAACACGGTTGCGAATTACTGCGTCAATATCATAATTTCGTGCTTATTTATTTGTTGCTTCAAAAGTGTTGTTCTGTAGTATAGTGCTGGTCCAGTCCATGAAGCTAGCAGGAAAGAATCTGGAAACAGTAATTCTTCGTTTTTCTGAACTTGGGAAAATGCAAAAGCTACGGCATCAGCAAGCCAATCGGGGCGTGTAATAACAATGCATGTGACAACGTAATGTCTTAGTGTACTCCTCCTGTGGAATTTTGGCACGTGCTTAGCTCCGTCGCTCAGACTGGCCCACAAGGGCAGTAGCTTTCACCCTTTGTTGAGTTATGCTAAGACAGAAAAGCAAGGAAACTGCATGAGACGAATACAATCTCGGGAGTGAGTTAATCTTCGCCTCTCGTTGACAAAGTAGGACTTTCAAGCCTTTGCGGCCACCTGCTCTCTGCGAGCTTGTAGAGGGGCTTCAGGCGCTAATTCGGCTCTGTTCAGAGACACCATTTGAGCAAGCTGCGAGCCAGACTTGGGTTTCTGACACGGACTGCGTTATCTTTGTCGTTTGCGCCAAAGCCAAACGTGTGGGATATCCACTGCTCTCTTGAGAGACAGAGAAAGAGAGAGAGAGGGAACCTTTATTAGTTACACCATAGTCCGGTTCTTGATTGGGGCCACCAGTGCTCACCCGGTACAGCATGGACATGCTGTACCAGTAGGAGCAGTAGTGTATCAACGAGTTGAAGCTGGGGGGGGGGGGGGGGTGAGCCTGCCTGCCTAGTCAGAGGGTCGAGAAGGGTGAAAAAGAGGGAGGTAAGGGAGCATTGGGCATGGGGACAACGCCAAAGCATATGTACATCCAAGGTGTCGCCTTCTATTGCTCTCGACGAGGCGAGGCCGTCTCGACAAGAGACGAGGCCATGTGACTGTCATATATTTCATAGTGCTATTGTTGCATAACATTGCATCTAAACAGAGCAAGAAAATGACATATCTAAACTGATAACCGCAAATGCAAGGAAAAATAGCTCTCCATGATCTGGCCTAACGGGAAGAAGTGTAACGCTCGAAGAGGGCAGTCTCATCAGAACAGTTCGTTTAGAACATATAAGAATATGTGTAGTTTATAGTGGGACAGCAGTTGGAAGTGTCCGTGTTTCTGTATTGAACAAATGACTGGGTGGTAACTAGGCAGGCTGCTTCTCATTTAGTCTCTTGAAAGCCTCCCTGGAGCGCTATATTGCGCCTGGACAGTGGGGGTTATAATTAATTTCACTATCGGCAACACAAACAATTCATCGACCGCTTCCCAGGATGGTGCTAAACGTTCATCTAGCCTAACAACAAGTTATTACAAGTACGTATGTACGCTGTGAATCGGACAGTGAACGTAGTTGCCGAGGGCACGGTCCTCACCGAGACATGGTGAGTTTGCTCACGCGCAAAGCATGACATCGTACTCACTCGCTGGCACTTGCGCCCATCCCTTGCTGCCCGTAGTGCCGCATGTTGAGGTAGGCCAACCTCAACACCTCAGGGTTGAGGCACAGGGCCTCGAAGTCCGGGTGGCCCGTTACGCAGCCCTGCCGGCCCTGCTGCTTCCGTGCGACGGCCGGGTATTCGCGGCAGCAGACGCACTCGACGACGGTCTCCATCGGCGCGCAGGAACCACATAGACACCTTCGCAGAAAACACGCATCAATTACCCATTAAAGCGGGGTATAATGGAGCGCACCACGTACCAGTCCGTGTTCCCAAGCCGCCCGATTCCATCGTCGGGTGCGTCTTCCAGCTCTTGCGGACTCGCTTCACCGCGGCGCGGCCGTTGGTCGTTGCCACAGTCGGTGCCCGCGGCGCTGCGTTCGTCCACGTCGCGCATCGGGGTCGAATCATAGGATATGGCACCCATGTCAGCTGTCCGTTCCAGGATTTCGAGCTCTAGAGACGTTAGGTCCGAAAGGTCCATAGCGCGACCGTGGGATGCGACGAACGACGAATGCTGAGCACAAAGTCCGGGCAATTTTGGTCCGGGCCCCTTGACGACGGTCCGCGCGTTGGAGAGATTCCTCCGCGGGTCGGCGGTCGGTGACGCGTAGTGACACTGGAATCCTTCGATTGCCATTGGCTGATGCGTAAAGAGATGCCCCTCCCGTTTTCCGGGGTCATCTCAGAAAGGGGGGCGTGCCGGGGACTTTGATAGCAATTTTAATTGGGAAATCCGCCGCGCATGACTGTAATTTTACGATTTTTAGGATCCTTAGGACCCATAGATTGAGTTACCGCCATATATAGACCATCGCAGAACGCTCCGGAGGGCCCCTTTAATGGCACCCGGCAACAGCGACTTCCTGTGATTTTTGTACGGCGTGTGGGGCACCGTGCAATCAAACGCGTCGTTGCGTAGGTGTAAATGAACGCCATTTGCGAGTATTTAGTGCGTGGATTGTAAACAGGTTAAAAGATATATATTTCAGGCGTCTGGGATGACTTGTACCAAATCTAAAAGACACGGGGCGCTTTCCAATTCACAAACTGAAGTTTGCTAATTAGTCTTAATCGACCGAATAATTGGGCAGATCGAGAAAAATGCGGCAACTATGTTAAGACGCTTGCTAACGACGTGCAGTTGGTTTTACTTCCCTGGAGGACTCCGTTTGCTTTGTTTTAAAGTTTGATGCAAGTAATCTGGGAAACCCTGTACACATTGTCTCGATGTTCCCTAAAAAGCTAAGGGTTTTTAAAAATCCCCTCTCCCCAAAGAAGTTAATTTTAATCTCTCGGAACTGTTTTCAGCTACGGCCCGCCGCGGACCATAAATACTGCTCAAACAAACGAGAAATCGCATAATTTTAAGAGATTGTAGCAGGCGGGTAAGTTTTAGTTGTCGATTGCGTGCGCGAACTTCGCATTTTACTCCCACCAGGGCGTCCAAAACGGTTCCCCGATCGGCGCATTTACCGCGTCCAAAGAAAAATGGTCCCTCGATTTCCGCCCGATGGCATCGCAGAAGGGCGCTGTTCCAGCGGCGGTGTGTTCATTGCCACTTCAAGACCACTTTCGGTGCGCGGGCGTAGCTTACTCCGCTTTTGGCGGGGCTCTCTTGCAGAGACGTAGCGCACGACAACATTCGTGCCGTCGAGGCGCAAGATGCGTGCAGAGTCTTTCCGGCAGTTTCATTGTGAAGCAGTATGCAATGCATTCTGTGTTAAGTCTGCCTTTGGCACAACAATGCAAAAAGAGCTTGTTTTGTGTGTTTATTTGGTATTGATTTGCCTAACTGCAGAAATTGCTAGAGTTCTTTTTTTGAAGGTGCGGAATGCTTTTCAACGGAGCTCCATCAGTCGGAAGATTTCGCCCATCCATCTGCCCGTCGGTGCATTTCCCGCCAGGTTTAGCGGTAAAATTAATAAATGCATAGCTTCTTTCCGAGACGACCGTTAAGTGTCTTCTAAGCAAATTTAGAGGACCACGCGGCCCCTCATTCCGCGGCTGTCATCTGCGCGGGTGGTGAGGGAGATACTGCAAGGTTTGGCCCCCAGTCGCTCCGACCGCTACTACATGCAGAGGCTCGCCTTGCCGGTGCTACAGGTAAGCCTGCCTCGTCTTTTGGTCGCCGTCGTGGCGCCCCGTCGACGTTGGCCCACATGCCGTAAAGTCCTGAGAGATAGCCCACCTAAAATAGTTAGAAAATTGGGTGGAAATGAGGGGTGGGCTAGCTTTTGGTGTGCAGTTGGGGCAAGTTGAATAAATGCTATTTTTTGATTGTGTGTCCCTGTCAAAGTTGTTATCGCGGCAAGGGGCAATGAAGCAAAGACGACTAATCCAATCAGCAGTGTTGGCTTATGTCTCGCCATAGCTAACTAGACGCATTTACGCCACGGTCATCATTGATCCGAAACTACGATTACTAGGAGGGGGCCATCTTTCGGTGTTTCAAATGAAATAGCACCTCGAGCCAGAAATGGGGGTGGGTTACCTTTCTCGGGTGGGACATCTCTTCGGATTTTACGGTAGTCCTTTTTTCGTCAATACATGCCTATTCAGTCGTAGGTCAGGTAGGCCTGTGACTGAATCAACCTACGTGGCCTATTTAGTCGATACCACTGCTAGCCTTGGGTCTTCGGCATACTTCGCTTGGCGAAACACGACCGCACGCCGGTAGGATGCTCGTCCAGATCGAAACGGGCAGGAGAGGGGAGGATCACAAGACCCAGGAACCTTGGGTCTTGCTGTGCGAGCTTGTGCTCTACGCTCTCCGAGCCGCCGTGCACTAACAGACCCGACCGCCAGTCCTCCATTACGTGAAAGAGCAGCGTCTCCCCTTTCAAGAGGCGGTGCAACGATTTTCTAACTTTGGCCAATTAATTGTGGGAATTAGTCGAGACCAACCATAATATGAGGAGCGGGAACCCTTTCTTTCTTGTGTGCGCTAGTTTTTAATCTACAAAGAGATTGAACAAGTAGAAGTGTTTCGAGTGAGTTTCGGTGTCGTCTTTGGGACCAGCAGCCTTCCCTGCCCGTTGGTCGACTTTTCAAGGCCACACTTGCCATCGTCGAGGTATCGAGGTGGGACGGCTTGCCGCGGGGAAAGACGTTGAAGGTAGCGAAGGAGAGGAAACGGTTTCCTTTATTTCCGATAGATGGATAGATGGCGCCGCGAAAAAGGTCACGCCATAGTTCCGATGACAACCACACAAGACTGCAAATTAAAAAAAAAATATGGTTTTGTTTTTTGCAATTGCAGTAGAAGATCGATGATATGAATCTCGAGGGATCGCAGGAGATATTTGTATCGTCCATAATTCATACTAACAAAAAATCAAGTCACATGACTATGTGAAACCAAAGGGGGGGCTACTTCCAATTCATTGGTCACACTCCCATCTAAAGAAGTCGATAATGTTCTTCTGAGCCTTCTTTTTCCGATGTCACCCAAAAGGCACTTTTGGAGCACGGAAGAACGAGCGTACCTGTCATTGCTGACCTTGATCTCGGGCTCACTATGCGGCACAGCACATCGAGAGCATGCAGTGTTTCAGCAGTCGTCGGTGGCTGCTTGTCATTAGTTTACGTCGCCGTCATCATCTCCGCTACTTCACCGTCCTTGCAATGCTGTCACTTCCTCAACGATTGCCTCGGCAGTCCTTAATCCGCAAGTAGCGAGGCTGTCATCTGCGGTAACGAAATCGAAGGCCGATTTCTCAGCATAAAGCGCAGGTCTCGGTCCTCAATTCTCAAGTTTTCGTCTGGTTCCGGAGGAGCAGCCACTGTAGGATTTGTGAATTCACACTTGCGGAAGCCGTTACATAAGGGTTGATTCCACAATCAACGTCAATTCCAAACGTCATTTCTCACGTTTACTCAAGTCAGTCAGAGTTGCTGAAACTCATTTATCGCGTGACAATAAATATAAAGCAGCAACCCTTGAGTGAGCAAACGCGAGTTACTCCAGCGAGCCAAATTCTCATCACGCGACAACACAGAGCAGCGGTGGACGTGGGTGTGTTTTCGAATTTTGGAACGCACCTACGGTTATCGGGATTGCATGGTGCGTACATAGAAAGAACGGCGAGAGAAATGACTCAAAAAGCGTGCTACAGTCGTAGGAGTCAAGTGATGCCGTCCCGCAGGATGTGTAAAGGTTGTTGATGATCGTTCACATGATCCTCCGCGGCCGAGAAAGCATTCGGACTATCCCAAAACGTAATAGATTAGTCTTAACGAACTTCTGCCGGGAATTTCGAAAAATTCGTATCTTACCGAAATTCGGACGAACCGTCGTCGTATCATCGAGATTCTACCGTATGCAGCAAATTTGCAGCATTCTGAACGAAGGTGGCACATTTTCTCCTCTTTTGCCAATAGAAACGATATAAAAAATGTGAGCCGTAAATTTTTCGACATTAAAATTGTGGGCCTGTCCCAGTTCTAACGCATCGCCTCGATTCGTTGGCGTTTGACGGGCGTCACCTCTTTTCCAGGACGCGTCGGAGCAGTTCGTGACTAACTTCCTGTCTGCGAGTTACCTGTGTTCCCTCCACGCCAAGAGACAGACCCTGAGGAGGGAGGACATGATTTTCCTCCAAAACCTCCTCAAGACCTTTGGCGGGAGCCTCGCCCCGGCCTTCTGAAGCCGCCCGGTTCCTTCATACGCCGACAGTGCTGTGTACATAGCGTAATCTTTTTTTTGGGTCAGTTCCTCCCGTTATTGTGTTATTTTTATATATTGCCGCGCGCGCAGCTGGCCAAGTAGGCAGCGTGCGCGTGGCATAACGGTGTTATTTTTATATATTGCCGCGCGCGCAGCTGGCCAAGTAGGCAGCGTGCGCGTGGCATAACGGTTATCGCGCTTGCCTTCCACGCAGAAGGCCAGGGTTCGATTCCTGGCCGCGGCTACACATTTTTGTTGACACTGTAATGTGATGTTTTGGTGAATTCGAGAACTGTCTTGCTGATTCGAGGTTAGAATGTTCTACGCGCCGAACCTTCTTCGCCGAACGATCCAGAAACCCACGAGGGTACATAAGGGATTCCGCAAGGCGAGCGGAGTCAGTTTGGCCCCAACACTCGACTCTGCTGTCTCGCCGACTTCGACGCGACGCTTTATTACTATTTTCTATTCCCTTTTTGTTTTGGGCACAAGTTCGCCACATTAAACGTTTATTTCTTCCTGTTGATTTATTGTTATTCTGGTCACCACCCGTGACATTCTGGTGGAGGTCTGGGGTACCGCATGTTCGTGCAGCGCACCCCTCCGAGTTCCCGCAGTACGAGTCCGAACCCAAGCTCCCGAGTACCCAACGAAGACACCACCGAGACCTGAGTAAGTCGCCACATCCAGTTCCTAGACCTGGAATACGGACTGCTGCCAACCAAGACCAAGCAAACCAGAAGGACGACGATGGCCAGCCAGTCGGAGACCCCGGCCGCTCTTGCCGTCGTTCACCTGCCCGTCGTACCGCGGACAGGTGAAGCTCCATTCCACGGCGAGCAGCACGAAGACGTCGAAGACTGGATTGACGATTATGAACGCGTTGCACGCCACAACTGCTGGACCGACGAGCAGCGCCTGCACAATGTCTATTTTTCGCTTCTGGGGACCGCCAAGCACTGGTACAAAAATCATGAGTCCTCCCTGACGTCGTGGGACATTTTCAAGGCCGATCTCAAGGCTACATTCATCAACCACCACCGCCGTCAG